GATGACCCAGTTAGGAGAGTAGAGGTATTAGATTTGACTTATGTTAAGAAAGGTAGGGGTAGACCTAAAAAGACTTGGTTAGAAAATATTAGGAATGACCTTTCTTTATTAGATTTAAACGAAAATTTGACTTTTAATAGGACACAATGGAAAAAAAGATTTAAATGAGAATTTGACTTTTAATAGGACATAATGGAGAAAAAAGATTCATGTAGACGACCCCACATAGTGGGATAAAGGCTTGTTGTTGTTGTTGTTACAAATGAGTTTACTTACTATTCCATCATTATGGATGCTAACCTCATTTTGATATTATTACTAGTATATTTATTTGAGAACTTACCGAGTTTCACTCCTTCACTTACACATGCATTCTATTCTATTACACCATTCAATAATCATATGCACGAGATATATGTTAATTATAATAATAGAGTTGACATAATATATATATATATATATATATATATACTTGCACTTTACCTACTTTTTATTACTTATCAAAGGCTCTAATTATATTATAAGAAAACCAAGAACTCATGCCTATGTGTTTGTTTTGCTCATAAATATGACTATTAATCCTACTTTCAATATTAAAGATCTATCGCCTTATTGAGAAGCTTTCAAATCTCAAGAATTTTATTATGACGATTCAATAAATATATAATCTCATTTTTCAAGTGTAGTTCAAACACAAATTCCTACATTACAATTCCCCGATGAGTTTGTCAATGTTCCTTCAAAATCATATTATCCCCCAGCCCATAGGAAATACTATTCACCGTGTGATGATTCATAATTAATTGATATAATGTTACTTCGGGCCCATGTCGCTACTACTCTACAGAGTAATGTTTAACCACTAGGGGAATTGATGTCGGCATAAAACTTTGAAGTTTAATTTTAGCATTGATATTTTAGAGTTATCCTACAAATTAGTTTAATTATTTATTAAGATCGTTCAAGCCAATATCATTAAATTTGTTAACAATTCATTATTTCTTTTATCTATAAAGATGATAATTTTGATTCATGCAAGCGACTTAATGGAATAAATAAAATTTTTCTTTTAGAAAAGAAGACTCTTCTTCATCTGTTTTGGGATTTGATCCATGATCGTGTGAGGCTAGAAGAATTTCGGAAGAGCTTTTCTACTCATAAAGGTGACAGGCCTGCATAATAACTTAGAAAGTTTCTTAATTTTTTCATTCTTTACACCTACTCTATTATCATTTCTGATTTTTCAAGATCATCCTACATCACATTAGGGGTCTCAATATTTGATCAGGCCCGAAATCCGACTCGAAAAATTTCGGGTTTGGGTCAATCCGTTTTTCATACAGGCCGGGTTCGGGTTCGAGATTCTGACCCATTTTTAAAATTAAATGTGGTTCGAGTTGACCCCGAAAACCCGAAGGTGACTCTACTGCTCGCAGCCCTCCAACTTTAACAACTTCCCGTAACACTCACGCATTCGCTCCGGCACAGGCCAAGCTTGCCCTCCCGCGCTCTCATCGACAATTGAACCAGCGCTCGTGTCCGAACCCGGACCCGCCCCTGCTCCCACGACCGCACCTTAACCTGCTTCCGCGCCTGCCCCTCTCAAACCCGCTTGCCACCATGCCCACACCACCCCCTTCACGCTCATGTCCATGCCCGAACTCTCTATCGTCTTTCGGGTTAGCTGGTCTAGTCCGGGTCAAAATTTTTGATATATTTACAAAACCAGGTTGGGTTCGGGTTAGATGAATAGGATCCAAGTCAATTCCGGGTTCAACCCGAACCCAACTCAATACCCATTTTGACACCCCTACATTACATCAACATATGTGGTAGTATATCTAATTTATGAAAATATTTTGCAAAAGTTCTATAATGCTATTATCAGTTTATCCGCTAGGGCATCTTCCGACCTCCAATATTGCATGTCCAAGCAGAGTTTATTTCTACAAAACTATCCTCAATATTTGTTACAATAATTTCTCTCTTTCTTCTGTAGTTTTAAACAACATTCATGTTAATATTCATATGCCTGCCACACTTAACCTTTTTGTTAATAATGTGCTTATTTCCTAATATTTATATTCATACAACGAAATCTATTACAAGTTTATAAAAAATACTTATCTGTGATATTCTTTTATTATATAATTTTCTCAGATTTATACAACATATATTATTACAAGTTTATAAAAAAATACTTAAGTTTATAATATTCTTATAATACATCGTTCTCACACTTCTCCACTTCTTACTATCCAACTTTTACTTCAAAAGTTAAATACTCATTTAAAATTATTCTTCTCAGTAACTGATCAAAGAAAGCTAACCCCTATCATAGTTAATTACCACTTGTCCATTATAAATTAATAGTTTCCATTCAAACCAAAAAAACTAACAAAACACATTCAATCTTTTTCTGCTAATCCTAACCATATCTTCTCAAGTAGATCCATGAAATTACTTTAAATAATTCATGACTCACTGACTCAGTATATGTATATAGATAATTAGAAGTGTCAATATGTGACAGAACCCGAAAACTCGACCCAAAAATTTCGGGTACGGTTTCGATATGTTTAACAAACGGGTCGAGTTTGGGTTTAAATTTCCAACCCGATTGATATATCGAGTCGGGTTCGGATTAACCCGGGAACCCGAAATCAACTCATTTGACTCGCGTCCCATCTACATTGCACCCGCACAACTACGCTCCCTCTCGCACCCGCGCTGTGCTAGCAACCTCGCACCTGCCCTCACACTTGCACAGTCGCAACCACACTCGCGCGCTGCTCTCGCACCCGCACTCGGCCCCTGTCGTTGCGCTCGCACCCGTGGCCTCGCAAGTGTGCCTGTGCTACTCTCGCCCGCTTCCCCGGGTCAGCAGGGTTGGGTTTGAAGCAGGTTGGGTCCCAACTTAGCTTGCTTTTCTACAGGTCTGATAATGATTGAAATGGGATAACTGTGCAGACTGCCAATGAAAGCACATATTATAAAATTGCATGTTAAACGTCAATGCTTTTACTTGTCCACTACACTGAGCTTGGATAATGATCATTTGTTTGCATGTATAAGTTGATAATTGCTTCCATACTCCTATGATCCATTTATTTATTAGAAACTCTTCTATATATATATATCTTTCATTGGTGCAGAATTTACTAGTGACCTCTACCCTCACCATATGCACTGATCCATACCCTGCAACTCCAGCCAAAAAGCCACCTGAACCTAATAAAGTGATCCAAGAAGAACCACATGACCCTAACGAAGACGCCACCAATGGAATCAATGATGCAGATGAAGAAATGGTTGATGCAGAGGCTGATGAAGATCCTCCAAACAAAGATACAGAGATGAAGGAAGAGAAAGGCGAAGAAGATCTTACAGAAAACTTAGAAAAAAATTCGGAACCTATTCCTTTGGGGAAACCTTCCTCAACTGTTGAACAGCACGACTCTACCTGACAGGCACCATTAATGGCATTTGATTGCCCTTTTTATAGAGTAAACATTTGTGTAATCTGATGAGCTCATAATCCTTTTCATGCGTACTTATAATTTGTGTAATCTGATGAGCTCTTAATCCTTTTCTAAGTTGTTTTTAGAAATTGTTTAAAAAGTGGTTCAACCTATTCCAAAAATTATGGAAGTCATGTATAATATTCTGCAGGCTTTTTAAAAGGCTATGGAATATTTTTCATGGTATGATTTTAAGTTATTCTAAATCTGATAAGAATTGCAAGTTTATTCGTTAAATGTCTGAGTTTTTAAGTTATCTATGTTTAATTAAGACTTTGTTTGGGATGAGTTTTTTACTACTTCTTAAAGCAGCTTTTTAGTACAAAATTTTTAATTTTTATACTAAAAAGTTGCTTCAAGAAGCAATTAAAAAGTCGTCCCAAACGAAGCCTAAGTCTAAAAGAGTTTATAGTTGAATTAGAAAAAGTAAAAAATGTCAAGTATAAAAGGCTCCTTGGGAGGGTTGCAATGTTGCCTTCTCTATTTATGGGAAAAGTATTTGGTAGCGTTGCAGTGTTGAAGGGGTAAGAGTTGCGGCATTGATCTTTCTGTCTTTAGGAGTGTTTTAGTGCTAAGACGAGGCGCTAAGCTCTTTATATGGAGCATTTGGAATATTCGATTGGAGCGTTGTGTTGTTGGGTTAAAATGAGTTTTTATATATAAATGTCTAAAATCATTAGCTAACTCACCTTACTGTACTAGAAAGCAGTAAAAAAGTCATCCCAAACGAAGCCTTAATCTTTTGTAAGGTTTCAAAATTGTATGTTCTATAAATTTTTTTTTGATTTAGGTCAAAATTACAACCAATAAATGATTCTCACTATAGATCAGGGACTCATGGCTGAAGCTTTTTTTCAGTTGCATCATAAGTCCTCATCTCCTCAATATTGTTTTATTAAAATATAAATTCTAATATCTAAATAAAATCAGTCAACTTCAACATAAATTCAACCTCAAAAAGTAAAGCTCAACATATAATAATATTGAGTGCCTATGCATTTCTTGGAATCAAATATTTTTATCTTTTTTTATTTTGACTTATATTCAAAATCAATTTTAAGTTGATCAAATTATATTCAAATATATATTATTTAATAGTTTAATTCAAAAAATATAAAAAATTATTTTAATCAAAACTTCTATCAAGAATCAAATACCCTTAACATATAATTAACTATAAAAACTTGCCTTATAGAAAAATCAAGTCGCATAATAAAAATAAATCATATTTATTGTATAGGAAAATATATTTGGGTGTATAAAAATACAATTTAATTGTTATAAATAAGCCTATAATAAAATAATATTTTCCTTTTTATATGATTAATATATGATTATCACATATAATAAGGTTAGCATATTACTCTTTTTATAAGATTATCAAAATTTTGCTTAGAATGGAATAGTCATTCATCTATAAATACATACTCTTCTTACAAACTTCAATTAAAATCAACGTTTATGTATCAAAATAATAATAATAAAAAAACGTTTATGTATCAACAGCTATTAATAACACCTTATTTTACAAATGTGATAAAAATTTCAAAAAATATCAACTGATTCTTTTAGAATGATCAAAATAATCTCCAAACATTTAAAAATTTCATTATAACCCCAACTTTCAAAACATGAAGACAGATCCATATTTAAAAAATCAAATTGATACGTTTATATAATCGAAAGTTATTTCAATCTTAAAAAAAAAAAAAGGGGACTAATTTTATCTTTTTTTATTTTTATTTTACAAATATAAATGAGAAGAAGAATAACAAGGTCATAATGGCATGGAAAACCTGAAAGGTTTCTTTCTTATAAACAGTTACAATTAATATATGGATTACTTTTCAGTGCAAGCATCCATGAGTTCTAGATGGGCAAATTATTTTGTGCGGATGCCGAACGTCGTCTAGAGACCAACCAGAATGCGTCACGTCACCCCCGCTTGGTACCGTGGTTCGGTACCGTGCTCGGTATTATTGACATGGCGTATTATGGTTGGTATCCGGACGATGAACTGCAGTCGGCGTCCGCACAAAATAATTTCTCTTCTAGATGACATTGTTTAGACTAACTGCAGAAATAGCAGAATAATAACATTATTAACCCGAGGAATTTGAAAACAGCACATGCAAGGACTCACATATCAGCTAATTAGCTTAAAGTTGAGTTTTTCATCTCGGCTGCTGCTGACGACCACCACCACCACTGCCACCATCTTTCAACTGGCTGCCACCTCATTGCTTCCAATTTCGTCGCAGTCATCAATGTAATCACCATTTTATACTGAATTTATTTTCCTTCAAATCAAATGCAAAAAAATGATTTCATGCATTTTTTTACTCAATCAAGTATGCCAAATACAAATCAAATGGTCCCAAAGTCTTACAGCAAAGCAAACCAATAACTAAAATTCAAAGATAGCTCCTCTTAAAAAAAGAGCAATTTCTTGAACAAGCAACAACCAAATCCTCCAATGATAAATTTGAGCAGCTAATCTCGTTATCCTCCAATGATTTACTATGCTTCTAACCATTTTTTACCCGGCAATTCACATTTAAAAAAAAAAAAAAATCAGCTAATTCAGTGTGTTGCATCTAACAAACTTGTCAAAAAAACAAGACTTGCGACTGGAGAAAAAAATAATTTCCTGCATTGACCAATTAAGGTAATAAATATGAGCAAGGCCTTCAGTGTTTCAGTAGTTCTTCATAACTTCAGGGTAACAACAGACAAGTAACGAAACAGTTCCTTCCTATTGAAGTATATCAATATTAAGAAAAGAAATTGATGGTTTAACAAAACAGTTAACTCCATTTAACCCACAACGCAATCCCAATCAGTCAATAAAATGAAAATATATGAGCCTATACAGTAACTATTTAATGGGCTTTTATGCTTACCGAAATTTTCTGAAAGGGAACATCTGATCCTCTTCGTACAGTAGTCAAAAATCAACCTGCAAAAACAGTCCAGAATTATTATCAACCGCAAACCATCGAGAATTTCAGCTTGGAGTAAATAAACGATAAGAGTTTAAAATTTCACACATACCATCTGCTTTCAATACTTACATCAGCTTTGATGACGGTATGGAGAAGTGATCTTGAACTCTTTACATGACTAACCAAAATTTTTGCAATTCTTAACACAACAAATACAGCACTTTGATCTTATTAAACGCTACAGTAAGAACAGAATTGAACAAAACAGGGAAGAAGTCATAAATACATGAGAAACCAAATAACCTCCATTTGCATCCTTTTATAACACATATGGATAAAAAAATTTAAGCTATCTTATTAATAAAAAAATCCTTAAATGAAGAAAATCTATTTACAAGTTACAAGCCGATTCAAGTTGTAAACCTCATTAAATCTGTACAAGGAACTTAACCATCAAAACATAAGGAAAATCAACTCTTACCATTCCTTCTTCAAGTCATTTGATGGAATGGAACATAAGACTAATCGGTATCTATTCACAGAAACGACATTCGTATTTAGAGCACTTTACATGTTTAACGGCTGATAGACTTCAGTGATCCCCGTACAAGTTGCAGGAGTTTTTCCACGTTGTTGAAGTTAAAATCAAGAACTTCTCTGACTGAGCACACACTTCCAACCCTGTCGTTGTCTAAGTCAATACTAGCAGCCGCAATAGCATTCCGCGATTTGTTTGCGGCTTCAAAAGCGAAATTTAGGTAATTTGTCTGCAAATAAATCCAAATGTAAGACAGCTGATAGTTCATTTTTAATATATATGATCAGTAACCAAATCCAAACAGACCCATAAACAATAGTACTACTAACAAAGAATAACAAATAGCATGACCAGAAAAATATCATAACAAAGAATAAAAAGTTTTGGTAGCTTCAGAAGCACAATTTAGACAAATTTTCCAAACAGATCTAATGTCGGGAAATGTCGGGAAAGCTTGTCCTTGAAACAATTGCTTCATTATAACAAAATATGATGGAAAATCCAATAGGCAATATGATGTGATACAAACATGGGGAAACATGAATTGCACTTTAGAGATTTGCGAAAGCTTTAACTTTGCAACATTGACAATAAAATCTAGCTTACTCAAGTAGGATACAAGAAAATTCGTGATAGATTAAGCGATAGGCATTGATTACACTTGAGAGTTACAAGAGTCTTGCAAAAGATAACCAAAAGATAATTAAATAATGCAAATAGCTATTACTAAAGCCACACGTTTAAAATTTAGACCATTCACCTTGAGGTCCGACAATCTCTCTTTGACGTGGAGGTTAGCGGAAGAGGGTCGCAAGAAAACTTAGCGATACCACTAAGACACATGTGATGCCGAGAGGACTCGTCGCCGGGGAAGAAGCGGGAGTTGGAGAAGCGGACGGATGACTTTCGATGATCCACGTGTAGTCGGAGAATTGGTCGTCGAAGGCGTCCACTAGTGTCGGCAAAATCCGATCCAAGTAATCTTCGACGGTATTGTC